TCACGTTCACCTACACTCCATTGTTTATTAAGCCAAAAAAGTTTCCATATTTCCATTGTTGTGCTCCTTTGTTTTATGGAATGCAAAGCCTTTGGACGGCCGGTTGTTATACAAATTGGGAGGGAGTTATATTGGCGTTCATTTATGTACTCGCAGATACGTGTATTGTTATCAGCATGAGTAGTTTTGCATTGTGATAAACTTGTTCATATAATTACTAATCTATACAAATAAATAAAATTGAAGTGTCGGTATGTAATGTCAAAATAACAGCCTTTCACTAAATGCATATGAAAGTATATATGGTACTTATAACAATTTTTTTTAATTTCTTTTTGTCTGTCCGTTCGTCTGTCAGTCAGTCTGTCTCTGTTTGTTCCGGCTAATCTCCGAAATGGCTGAACCCATTTTGATGAGACTTTCACTGGCAGATAGCTGATGTTATAAGGAGTAACTTAGACTACTTTTATTTAAAAGAAATGAGTTTCGGCGCATAAAAAACTAAAACCCATTAAATACAATCGTAATGAATTCCAAGCGGGAGAAGTTGCGAGGAACAGTTAGTATCCAATATATCACTAACCAAAGAGAAAAAGTAAGGTGATGATCTTTTTAATTCTAGCAGTCGCTTCTCTGTGAGCCATTTTTTCTTTATTGTAACAACCATAGACTTAGCATAGTAATTCTAAATGGTAAACACCAACTTAAGACCTATTTTTTTAATCTGTCAGGCTGGTCAGACGTCAAATGCCAAAGATACCTATTAGTGAACTGAAATTGTACTCATCAACACAAAGGAGACGGTCCAAAATTGTATGAAGCGTAGGCCTGGTTTTGTACAAGCGGGGCAATAAGTTATAACAATATATTGTACCACTTTTGGTCATTCAAGTCCTCGAATTAGCGTTTATTTCAGTGGTATTAATATTTTATTCTTACCAAAAACTGCAACACTAATAGCGAATTGATGTTGTTTAGACATTAGCTGTCAACTGTCATTAGGTTATTGACAGATATTTGAATTCTGAAATGCTGTGTTATTCTTATCACTTATAGCCTATCAGATGGATTTATTATGGTACAATGGCTAAAATGTATCGAAACTAGTTCGAAGGAGGGCAAAAAAGGTTGTATTTTTTGATAGAACAAGATGTCCGATATCAACGAAATCAAAATCTCACGTATGCTATATATGCTGTATATCGTGAAGTCCGAGCCGCCGAAAAGCCGAGTCACGCAAGTAGTAGCAGATCCAAAGTCCGAATAAAAAAAAACAAATTGCCAAAGGAATCCAAAAGAAGCACAATAGCTATTTAAATCGTTATTACTGCAAAGGTACCTATGCTTTTAATATTAAAACTAAAAATACACGTCATGAACCATTTCTCGAGAGGTTAAATAATCGAAATAAAATATTAATAGTTACATTAACAACTTGTTCTTATGTGAACATTTACCATGACTTAAAAAGGTAGGAGTCGTAGAGAAGTCCTTAACTCGAGTGCATGCTTTTTTGGTAACGCAGTATCTTTGTCAATTGTGAACCAATTTTAATTATCTTTTTCCTTATTAGATTAGATTTAGGGGTAGTTTCAAATTAAAATTAAAATAAAAAATTTGTCCAATCAAAAAGTTTAAAAAAATTGTTCTATTATAGAAAAATATAATATTTTTATGTGTTCGTTGTAATTTTATGCGTTGCCATTGCGGTAAAACTTTGTTAACTTATAGCTTGCGCAAGTGCGAGGGCTATAAGCATAGTACAATTAATTTACAACAGATGGCGCGTATATCATACCAAGCAATAAGCATAGTACAATTAATTTACAACAGATGGCGCGTATCATACCGACAAATTTATTTGAAAGTTAAATATCATTCAATTTTAATGAATGTATTACTTATCAATCCTAATTAAACAATAAAACTCTTCCAAATTTAAGACAATTATTTCTTCTGTGGCTGCATCGCGCCGGGTAGGAACCAGCTAGTAGTAAATACAAAGACGCCTAAGAGGAAATAAAAAGAATAAAATAATTTACATATGTAAAGGTTCGGAAGTCGAAACTTTAATTCTAGGTCTTCTTTAATATAAAAATTATTTTCAGTTTAGTTCTTTAAAGTCGACTTTTACTTTACATTACAAGTTTAATTTTACGTTTTTATTTCAATCAATTCCTTTACTGACGGATTTTCGCTACAATTGAAAAAAAAAGCATCAAAGTGAGTCGTAAAAAAAAATGGCACACCTGTGTAACACGAAAAGCCAAGACGAAGTGCAAAATGACGTCATCAAACTAATGCACTATCCGACCTCATCATGCAGGTGTTAGCGGGGAGAAATAATTACCGGCTGGAAAAGGTGACGTGCGCCTGTTCATTATTTAAGACGGTAGACAACGTGTGGTTGGAAATGCCAGTTTGGATATATAACACAAAACAGCGTACATCTCGAAACAAAGAGTGATTATTTTCCGCTGAAAACATCGTGTAACCTCTTAATGAAAAATACTCTTGTAATGTTTATCTAAGGGAAAAAAATCATAAACTTTGAACTATTGTATCAAAATGTAAACTAAAACGTAAAATAACTTCTAAAATTATGTACATATAGGGTTCATTTTGTCTTTTTTGCTCAACTTGGGTTTGCTTGGTTATGAATATAAGAAAACAATTTTAAAATAGGCTATATAAGTTAATAATTAAAAATTTTGATTACATCAAAACTGAACATAAATTTTAATATTATGTATTTTGTAAAAATATTCCATCTTAGTCTTCAGGAGTGCATTTTGATTTCTTTCTTTTTTTCTATATGAGAGGGGACCAACGAGCATGCGGCTCACCTGATTATAGGTGACTACCGCCCCCCATGAATAACTGCAACACCAAGGGAATTGCAGATGTGTTGCCCGTCTTTAAAAAAATAGGCTATTTTCTTGAAGGCCCTAACTCGTATGGGTCCGGAAAAATCGCTGGTGGTAGTCGATTCTACAAAGAAGTAGTACGAGGAAGAAAACTTCTTGTAAATCGCATAGTAATGGACCGCCAATCATCTAGGTGGTAAGGATGTTATGGGCCTTTTCAGTGCGACGCGGATGACCTACGCGGACGTCCGCGACGGACGGTAAAATGTATGAAACCTTACAGCGCGTTCAGAGCGACACGGAGCTGTCCGCGTCGCGGAGAGCTATCCGCGCGCGGACGGTGCTTGGTTTTAATGTATTTGTTCAGTTCTCGGCGGACAGTTGCGCAGAGCGGACGTAAAGTATTGTCGTTGTCATGACGGCTGCGTCAAATGTGCAAACCGAGAGGGTTATACAAGAAGTACGACTTCGACCATGTCTTTGGAATCTCCGCGACAATTCATATAAAAATAAAGACGCGAAATTAAAGGCATGGAAAGATGTTTGCGAAGCTGTTTGTCCGAATTTCGGAGATAGTTCAGGTGAAGAAAAAAAACAAATCGGTAAGTAATGTTTATTGAAACATCTGTGTTATCTAATAAATATAACTATTTTGCCAAGGTACAGATCCTTCATTTGAGACAAAGTAATTTGCAAAATTATCTCTTATTGTATTGCCCGATCGTGTACTGTCATTAATGCGAGCATTGCAATCTGTAAATCCAGCTACAATCATAGCGTCTTCTTCCGTATAACCATCGCGTACTCTAATGAAATTGTGTAAAATGCAGCACGCTTTGATTAAAATTTGTGCAAATGATGTTGATACATTGATAGATCTTTGGAATATTGCAAATTTGTTTGTCAATATACCAAAACTCGATTCTATGTATCGGCGTGCACGACTTAACCTGTAATTAAATATTTTTTTTTGTGTGTCAAATTTGTACGCGCGTATGGGCGAAGTATAGTATTGGAAATTCCAAAAGCTGCGTCTCCTACAATGACATGTGGCTGTGGGTTGATAGATGTGCCTGGTAATAATTTTGGAGGTGGCAAATATAGATCATCTCGTTCAAGTCTATGAAATAACGAACTTTTCTTGAACACATTAGCGTCTGCTTCGCTGCCACAAGCCCCTACATTTACATAGGTAAAACAGTAATTGGCATCACACATTGCAAGTAAAATAATAGAATAAAATTGCTTATGGTTGAAAAATACGGATCCACTTTCTTTTGGGCACGTGATTCTGGTATGCTTTCCGTCAAGGGCGCCTACGCAATTGGGAAAATTGGCATCCCTTTCAAAGCCAAGTGCTATGTTATTCCAAAAATTTGGATCAGGTTCAGGCAGACATTCGTTTTTCAAAATTTCCCATATTAATGAGCATACTTCTTCAATAATGTATTTAATTGTAGATAGCCCCAATCGATAACTTAAATGCAAATCAGACATTCTTGACCCAGTAGTCAGGTACCTGCCACAAAAAAAAAAGTGTGTAATAAATAAGTAAAGTTACTAGCATATGTTGTTTTATTATTTATATTATTTAATTTACAGAAAAAGCTGTTCAGTTAAGATGGAAGACCGCCCGTGATGCATACATGAAGTGTAGAGCAAATCTTAAGACATCGAAGTCCGGTTCTGCAGGGGGTGTCAAAAAGAAGTATATTTTTTTCGATATAATGACGTTTTTGGAAGACACAAAGGACTTTGAACCCACACATGAAAGTATGGCTTTAACATCGTCGCAGACCTCCCAAAATGTTGCTTCAACGTCATCGCAAAACTCGCAAAGTATTTTACCTATTACCACGACCCCGGACTTGCCATCAACAGAAGAAACATTTCAGACACCTGTGCTGGCTTCTCCAAAACCGTGGCAGAGAAAAAAAAAGAGATGTATGACAGACTTTGAGTCACAATTATTGAAAATATTAGAAAAGAATGACACTTCCACCACAAACTTTGCGTCGTCTACGGCTCTTAAAGACGATGACTGCAGTTTTTTTTAATTCTCTAGCACCCATTATAAACGATTTCGATAATTATAAAAAATTGTTATTCCGAACTAGAATACTGGAGCTAGCTATGGAAATTAGAGGTCCAGCTATGAACTCGCCCAGCACATCTGCATCAACCGCTACCAACGATTTACCTCACTTATCAGGGAGTGATGTGGACGAGTCTTTAGAAAGCTGGCAACACGGTGATTACACTGCATTGTAATTAATTACATAATTACATTTTAAATTGATTATATAATTTTTTTAATTAAAAAAATTGTTTCATTTATTTAACTTTTAAATTTAAGTACCTAGTTACCTAATTGTTACAGCCAATCTCTCCCGCGAACATATAGGTTTCTTGTATATATCGCAACGCATTAAAGGTGGCTCTAGTTTCGCATGCAACTCCTCAAATGTCCTAATGGACATCTTGAAATATTTGAAGAATTTCATTTCGTCGTCCCGCAAGTCCGAAAACAAGGATACAAATTCTCCTTTAAGAAGTCTTTTCTCAACCAGTGGATGCACATTAAATCTTCTACTATGGCGTCTTCTTCTTCTGTTGTTTAATAAATAGGCCGCAATCACAAAATTCAAAGTTTTATCCATGACACTGTACCACTCTCGATCACGATCCGCATCGCACTGAACGACGAATTTATCCGCGACGGACGCAAAACCTCATCCGCGTGCGGACGGTCCGCGTCGCACTGAATAGGGCCTATATCGAGTTCTGTCGCGATGTGTGATGGTGAAATTGAGCGACTGGAATTAATCCAAACAATTCCTCTGAGTAAATACGATATAACACGCAAAGAGATGCAACATCTCTTCGCAGCGCTAGTGAGTCAAGCCAATGAGAAAGTGCTCTAGCACTGGGGAGCCCCGGCCCAGAGATGGGATCAGTATTCTGCTGCGCATTTTAAAGTTGCACGCGGTGTGCCGGCATGAATTACTGTTTCGCTCTGCTGATCACGCCAAGCTTTTTAGAGGTCAATTTGGCCTTCACTTCCAAGTGACCACGAAACCGCACGTCATTCGATATATCGAAGCTGAGGATTCCGTTACTGGTTAAGGCAACAAGAGGAGTGCCCTAAAACTGAGGAGATACGACAAAGGGGTTCTATTTAGCAGTAAACGCGCAAACTTGTCTCTTCTGATGATTGAACTGGACTACATTTAGTCGCCCCCAATCCGCGACTTTGTTCAACTATATCTTGACTTCAGACACTAGTTTGACCCGGTACTTGGAGACGTTTTGCCAAAAAATATTGGCACGGCCAGTGTATAAATGATCACCAGTACTGTCTTTTGCATAGCAATGAATGTGACCGGTTTGTAATATATTGTTAAGAGCTTAGGGTTCGTGACAATAAAAACTGCCGATTTAATTAACAAAATTTACTCTTTAATTCACTTTACTTAAAAGACACTAATAATTAATCACACTGATTCACTTTATTTCGCTCCGAAGCTTCGCTTGTCTCGCCAAATTCAATACTGCCCCGATCGTGGCATGCTGCGGGTTTAAATACACTTTGACACCGAAACATCCAGAATATTCCCGTAGATACGGGCGCCGACCGACCAGACGCAGAAAGTTCGAGTGTAAGGCTTCTAGAAAGCTTAGTTCTTCAATTGGGTACTAGATGGCGCTGTCAGTTAAAAGATTAGTCATGTCATTTTCTGGAAAGCTCTCCTCGCTCTGTTACCCGACACTTAGGAGCCCCTCTTGCGCCTTTCTGTATCCGGTAGGTTACATCGTTGATCCTGGTCACAATCCGGTACGGGCCGTCCCATTTTGCTTGAAGCTTAGGAGATTTCCCTTTGCTTCGGACTGGATTGTGCAACCATACTAGTGAACCTTCGTCGAACCCTTTGTTGTTAATTTTGCGGTCATACCGGGTTTTCATCTTTTCGGACATTTGCTGGCCCGATTGTCTGACGTGCTCATAAATGTCATTCATTTTGTTCCGCAAGTCATTTGCATAATCGGTTATACTGCGTGGGGCATCAGGTGGTATCCCGGTGATCAGGTCTGCGGACAGCCGTAATACTCTTCCAAAGTTTGCGAAAGCTGGTGTCACCGATGTACTTTCGTGAACAGCGCTTCGATATGACAACAAAAACGATTGTATGTGCTTGTCCTAATCTCGTTGCCGATTGTCTACAACTTTTGCTAGGTACCTCTCCAATGTCTGATTAAAGCGTTCTACCATTCCATCAGATTGCGGGGATAAGAAGTCGTTCTTGTTTTATGAGTACCCATAACTCGGCAAGTTTCCTGGAATATTTGAGACTCAAAATTCCTTCCTTGATCGCTGCGAATCTCTAAAGGTACTCCAAAACGACAGAAGACATCATGAACTAGTTTATCTGCAACTGTTCAAGCTTCTGGATTTGGAATGGCGAAGACTTCTGGCCACTTAGTGAAGTGATCCATCACAACCATGAAATACTTGTTACCGCTTTCACTCTCCGGAAACGGCCCCGCCACGTCAATGGCTATTCTCTCCCATGATGCGACACCAGTCTTCGAAATCGTTTCGACAGTGGACCCAGTAAAACCGTTCTCGGATCTTCAGTAGAGTTCGTTTAACTCCCGGATGGCCTTCTGAATAATCATTATGGTACAGCTGTAGAACATACTTACCGGTACTTTAGCTTTAGGGACAACCAAATATGCAAATGACAGCTGTCTCCCCGAACATTTTCCCATTTCCGGCACAGAACTCCATCCTGAAGCAGCAACCTGTCCCACTGGGCCCAATAGCTTTTAGTGGTCGAACTCATCGCTGAGACATCGCTCCACTTGGGCTTGGGAGCACCGACCTTCATCCATTGCAGAATCGGCTTGATGTCCGGATCTTCCTGCTGTGCACGTTGTAAGCTGTCCTTCTACTCGGTGCTGAGGTGGTCTGTCCTGAGCATCCTCACGGATACCACTTCCTTACTCTCTTGCCTAGTACAATGTTTGCAATCTTCAGGACAAGGTCTTGACAATGCATCTGCGTTGCCATGAGATTTCCCGCTGCGATGTTCGATTCCAAAGTCGTATTCCTGCAGTAGTTCAATCTACCTCGCAACTTGTCCTTCTGGATTTTTAAACTGCAAAAGCCATTTTAGTGCAGCATGGTCAGTTCGTAAGTGAAATTTTTGCCCCAGAAGATATTTGCTAAAATGCTGCAACGACTTTACCACAGCTAGCAATTCGCGTCTTGTGACACAATAGTTCCTCTCCGGTTTTGACATCGACTTGCTGAAGTACGCTATCACGACCTCTTGGTCACCATTCCGTTGAGACAACACACCGCCAAGTCCTATATCACTTGCGTCTGTGTCAACTATAAATTCTTTGCTTGCATCGGGGTATCCCAAAATAGGTGTTTTGCACAGACGGTCCTTGAGCTCCTGGAATGTGATATTGCAACTTTCATCCCAGCAGAAATGTCGCTTCTCCTCGGTTAGCTTATGCAGAGGTTTGGCTATATCTGCAAAGTTCTTCACAAATCGCCGGTAATAGGAGCACAAACCCAAAAATGCTCTAACCTGCGTCTTGTCTTTTGGAACCGTCCAATCCTTGACAGCTGCGATTTTCTCCGGATCCGTGCGGATACCTTCTTCCGACACTACATACCCCAAAAAGTTGACTTGCCGTTTGAATAGTGAACATATCTTCGGACTCAACTTTAGGTTGGCACTCTGAATCTTCATGAGCACGCGTTCCAGGTTTTGAAGGTGTTCCTCACGTACGGCCCACGATGATGATGTCATCCAAGTAGACCAGACAGGCATCACCAATTAGCCCTGTAAGTACAAGTTCCATCAGCCTTTCAAACGTTGCTGGAGCATTGCACAACCCAAACGGCATTACTTTAAATTGCCACAGACCCTTTCCCGTCGAGAACGCAGTTTTCTCCTTGTCTTTAGGGTCAATTTCAACTTGCCAGTAGCCACTTTTTAGATCCAGCGTACTAAACCACTTTACTCCTGTAAGCATGTCCAGCGTGTCATCAATTCTTGGCAAAGGATAGCTGTCCTTCTTCGTAACGTCGTTCAGACGGCGGTAGTCAACACAAAACCGCGTGCTGCCATCCTTCTTCTTTACCAGCACCACGGGTGAACACCATGGACTAGAGGAAGGTTCAATAACCCATCCTTCACCATCCCTTCAATCATGGTTTCTACTTCCTTTTCACCTGCTACCGGCAATCTTCTTGGCTGCTGACGGATAGGCAATGCTTCTCCTGTGTTTATTTTGTATTGAACTAAGCCAGTGTTTCTTATGTCAGCATCGTTTGATGAGAATACATCGGCGTACTTGAGTAACAACTTCTTTGCCTAGACCATTTCGTTCGGGGAGAGAACGCTGCGACAGTCTTCCAAAAGTGGGGTCACTCTCGTTTGTGCATCCTTGCTAGGGGTCTTACTCGATAGATATTGGCACCGACGTAACCAATCCACTTCCTCACAAGTACCAACCCGCGTGCCTTTTTCTATAATCTATTCCCGGTCACAAAGGTTCAGCACACGTACTCCTGAGATGTCAGTGGTTCTGACCAAGGTTCGAGGTACTTCCCATGGAAGGTCATTGCTTACCCTTTCCACAAGTATACAACGGTGAGCTTGCCCAGCGTTTCGAGGAAGACTAACCGGCACAATTGTTTCCGATATCGGCGGAAGAACAATCTTCTTGATGCTGTACACGTTTCCTGGTAACGCACCTTCCATAAAAAGTTCCTCCTGTACACATTTCAAAACACCTTGCTTAACGTCGATCTCACAACAATTATTCCTCGTAAAGTCTAGGCCCAGGATGCAGTCGTCCATTATATCAGCCACGATGACATTATGCAGGCATATCACGTTGCCTAGCTTCAACTCCATCTCTTTCTCTCCACGGATGGGTATACGCTGACCGGTGGCTGTTACAAAATTAATGCGTTCTCGGTTGTATGCGGAGTCCCCAAGGAACTGACTTATAAATTGGGAACTAACAACCGTGCGAGAGGCTCCAGTGTGTATGGTCATTTACACGGCATTCCGTTGACCTCGCCCTTGATGATTAGACTGTTTCCATCATGGGTTTGTGAGATCGAGATCCTTGGGGCTATTTTAACATCAAACAGCACCCGCCCCGCAGTTCTGGCTTTTACTCGTTTCCCTGCTGCTGCTGGGCGGTGCTGTTGGCCGCACTACCCTCCTGAGATCGTTCA